CAGACTATTATAACATCTTTTCACATGTTCAGGCCAATGTAACTGCTCCCTTCAAAACAGGCAACTAGATCCAAAAGTAACTGATGTATGATAAGGGTTGGCATAGTACAGATGTAGGAACTGAGACTGAGTGACCATGGCTTGCCAAGGAATCTTGTGTGTTTATTGTAGAGAAAGCAACATGAACTTTATATATTTCATTAGCAGAGGCAGACAAGTTCCTTAGGCCTTATCCCCAGTTCTAAAGTTTTTTTAACAGCCACAAATTTAAGTTAAACTTTCCTTCAAATGATAAAGCTCCATTTGTTTTAAAGCTTGTATTGAGAGTGTATGATACATATTAGTGCAAGCTGCTTTACTTGTGACATTATCACAGCATGCCTACCATTTTTTTCCCTCTAACACTCAAAGAGGAAAAGCACATGTATGTAGGAACAATTTGCTTCGGAGCTCCCCTAACTGTATCTTCACAAAAGACCTCTCTCAGAGGAAGGCATCTTGGACAAAGGCTGGTATCTCAGAATCTGATCTTGTGCTCTGAACAACATAGGACAGGATCAGGCTTTTAGGTAAGCTAAGCTCAAAATGCACCTCTGTCATTTCAAGCTTATAGGCATGAATGAGTATGAGGAGCAGATCATTCAGAATTTGTTTTACAGAGTAAAACAGTAAGAGTAAGTGTTCTTACTGTTTCACTTTATCGTAAGCCACTTTTATTTTACTTTCCAACCTTATCAGTTTTTAGGCCTGCTGCTCTGGTCGGACTGGGTTGGCTCTAATACCAAACTGCCTTTTGCAAGCAAATAGCTATGTATAAGGAAATATGTTTAAACAGATGCTCAGTTAAAATAAAGAATACCAACAAAACTTTTTAATGGTCATTTTAAATCATAAACTACTACCTTTCTTAAAACAAACTGTGCAGAAGCAGTTTCTACAGTCAACTTTACCGAAATAACTTCTATAGCTTTTCAAAAGAAAACCCAACTAGTCTAACAGGTTTTCCACCACATCCATGTTTCTTGTTGACTTTTCATTGTCAGATTATAATGAAAACCATACATAGTGGTGTTATTTTACCACCATAACTTTGGTTATAGAGTTAAAAGACTAAACAATATATCACAGTACACCAACAAAGCAAGCAAATACAGTTCATAAAATCAATCTATGTAGAGGCTACAAACACTCCTAATCCCAATTCTTTCGGTTCAGGGACTATAGACCCACAAGTGTGATATGGAACTTGCTTGTTCATAAAGAACTTCCATAAAATTATATGTGCCTACCTGTTGAAGCATTTCTTCAGTAGCATTAAGCTTCAGTTGGTGCCCCTCAAGACAAACTTCTAGATCTCTGATTTTTTCTCCTTGGGCCTCCACCTGGTCTGTGAGGACACTCACCTGTAATTGAGGGGGGAAATCGTCATAAAAGTATTCAGTAATTCAGTCTATCACTTTTAATAATAAAAAATATAAATGCATTCCTATCTCTGTATCCCACTCCCCTTCAGTGTGGTGCTCAGAAACCACAGCCAACTGTCTCAAGGTCATTCAGTTAGCTTCATGTCCAAATAGCAATTTTTCTGAGGCCTGAATGCACACATTAGCCTTCCTGTCATAACAGCTTTCTTTTAATTCTGCTCCTTGGTCAATAGAAGCCTTTAAATATTTTACCATTTTCAAAAGGACATGTTTCTTACCTTGAAAAGCGACTAAATTACAATTCGAAAACAATAAGCATCTTGGTAGGCTAGGAAGAAACCTATATAAAAAGTAGCACTAAAGTTCACGCACAAGTATTTATAGTAAATAATTCTTCAAAGGAAACCCCCCTTGTAGAATCCTGTTAATATTTTAACTGGGCTTTGAGCATGCACAGCGCTTTCAGTTTCTGCCAACTTGTCTCTCCTTAAAAAGAAGAACGCACAAGGAAAAAGGTATTCAGGAAGCCAACCAATTACCTTTCTTCTTTCAAGAACATGAGACCAGCTTACCTATCAATAAAGCTTTTTGTAGCTATTAAATAACATAATATGCAAAAACATGTTTTAACTGGGAGTGCTCTGCTTTTCAGTTTTAAAGCTTTGCAAGCTTAAACATGAATGAAAACTTTAGGCAGCAGAACTGCTGTGAAGGACAGAATTCGTAGTAAATTTCAGGGAAAACTAAGAATGGTGTCACCCACCACTCCAGAAAACATGAAATATATATAGAAATAAATAGCAAGTGAACCATGTCAGAAATCAGGAAAAGTGATAATTTATGCATCTTCATTATTGGTCTGTCAAATGAATCTTGATGATTCATGAATCTTCCCACCATAAAAACTCCAGATTTCTTTTATCTAGTGAAGCTTAATCTTGGAATTGGTTTAAGAGTTTCAAGGATTTGCTGAGTTTTTCTTCCTTCCTTCCTTCTTGGGGAGTTTGTTATTCACAAAAATTATAAAAGAAAATACTTCAGAGGTATGTGTCAGAGCCCCACCTTTGGTCCTTTGATAAAAGTACGTAATTGTAGGCTTTCTGAAGTAAGCTAGATTTGGAAAGAAAGCACAGCAAGCCAGTCATATCTAGCAGCAGCTACACAGCTGCTCCCCTCGTCACCTACTCTTGAAAGTTGCTGCTGATTTATAAAATGTTTGTAAAGTTCAGCAAAGTACACCATCCCCTTTATATTATTCATGTGCTAAAAGCCAGTATTTGTAGGCAGGTGACCTGCAAATTCTTTCATAGGCGAGTAATATTTGCAAAGTAGGTCCCAAGACCTTCCAAAATGTGGTATTGCTTCCCTGAAATGTTCAAAGCTGCTGATTGCAAGCCTACTATTGTAATGGTAATTAAAAAGGTTCATTTCAGGATGATGTCATAGGAACATTCAAAACCATCCTAGAAATACTAATATTAATTTGTGAACTTCAGCAGAGCACATTATACTATCTGAATGAGATGCTGTTGAGTAGAATTTCCTTTCTTTCTTTTTCTAGCCCAAATGATCAAGTAACACAAACATCTCCTTTATGTTTATAATATGATCATTTAGTCCCTTACCACACAGTTCAAATATTCTGATAAAATATTTTGCCATGATTTGCTAAAACTGCTGATGAACAAATGAAGTCCAACTAGACAAAAAGGAACAGTTTTCCAGTTTCCTACCATAAAACCATCATTGTTGCCATTATCAAACTTTTCATCCAACAAGAATGCATTTTTAATTCTCCATGTGATTGGAAACCCTGCACAATCAGTTTTTACCTAGCACTTGAAACACCAATTTCATGTAGTGGAATTGTACTTCCCTCAGCCAGTACAGGAGGAGGTCTGGAGCCAACGTCAACCTTCTCCAGCTGCATATTGTGCACACAAGGGAAGAACAGAGGGCTACAGTAGTAACTTCAAAGTGAAGATGACACAGTCATCCGCATAGGTTCCCAGTTGTGAGTAATGCAATGCAAGGCTTGTGTTGCAAACAAGGAATGCTAAGAAGAATTTTGTCACCAAGAAACAACCATTCTACTAGATTTCAGCAAAGGACAGATGGGAAGCAGGGCTTCTCCATCAGCTTGGCTGAGACTAGCTCTTCTGGTTTCCCTCTACTTGAGCGCTTCCTAATTCTATTAGCTTCATTTTGTTATTTGCAGAACGATTGCATGGGTTTACTTTTTTCTTCCTCTCACTTCAAACTACTTTTGTTTTGTGTCTTGACTGTAAGCTTGAGAACAGGGACACTTTTATTATTGACCTTTGTAAGCTGTGGGAACATTTTTACTGAAGAGTTGTGTAAAAATGAATAAACGGAGAGCAATTACAAGGACGCTATTATCAGAACAATAGACTTGGATGTTGTTGCAGTACTTGAGTTCGTTTTCACACATTCCAAACCTAGACAAATATGTATTGGATATAGGCACGGGAGACCTTGTCCACGTGTTATATTTCCATCTTTCTGCCAGTATGGCTAGCTACCCTGTTGTTTCATGCCTTCTCAGAGATATGATTTCTGGAGTTTTAGGTGCAGGAATGAAAAATATGTGATGATGGCTTGTCTCTCATTTCCACACCAGTTTATTTTTTCACCAGAAATTCACATTTTTTCAAAAATACATTGCAGGATTTAATTTCTCCTAATACAAATTTTGCAACCACTTTTCGCTAATATAAGTCTTTTTGTTTCTCCTAATGTGCATATTTCCCTTTAATGTATATACTTCCCATTTTATTGTAAAATGTCATCACAAAATTTAAAGAAGTTCAGAAACAAAGGAAAATTGCCTTCCAGTTTGTATATATTTTGGGAAGCACAAGGTTTTATCAAAATAGGAACCAAACAAATTTCATTCCAATCCCTAAATGAGATTTGGGCCTTTTTTGTGCAACTATACATAATAGTTGTACAGTCTAACATACTTTTAAAAGTACAGCAGGGCTCCCATAACTGTGGGGACAGGTTCTACGTTTCCCAGTGGATGCCTGAAGCTGTGCATAATAACAAACAATATATACTATATAATGTACATATGCATTTCTTTTTTTTAGAAATTCAAGGATAAGATGATTCAATCTTACCATACATCCTAGGAATGTCAGCATATGATTTTTTCTTTCTTTCTCTATTAAATCAAGACTTTTCACTTAAAGAAAGCACTTTATGATTTCTCTTTCAGACTGAAGTCAATCATGATTATGTGAAAAGGTGGTAAGTGAGCCAGGGGATGTGGGGGTCCTGCTCTAATGGATTTTTAAATGTTGCATATATTAAGTTATTATTACAATAAAATAAATGCTTATACACTATTATTTATCCTTAATGTTATGTGAAATACTTGAATCACAGCAAGGAACTTGCCAGATAACCCGGACACACACACAAGGTATTTAGGCATTTTGATAGATATTGTGTGAAACAGAGAGGTTGGTGACACATTTTGGTTCAAAGGGGGTCATTTTGGTGACAGCAATCTATTGGCATATATGGCACTGAGAATCGTAGGCAATAAGATTATTTTTACAAATCATATTGGGAGCCATGGGGATATTTGAGGGGGATACTTGACCTGCAGGACTTTTAGGGTTTACGGCCTCTTGGGGAGCCTTTCATATTTGCTTTTTGGAGCCATTTTGCATCCTATCCGACACACTCCATCTGGGTTGCCTCCCAGGTGATTTGAAATCTTCTATATGTACATAATGTTCACTTGCAATATGACGCTGACAGCCAATAATATTTTGGTCTTTACAGGTTCTTGCACTAGAGAGTGAATGTCTCAAAGTAAATCCCGAGAATTTCATGGCTGAACAGACATTTGGACCCAAACTTCCTGTTAAGCCACTGGGTACACTAATTGCTCTGTGTGCCTCAGGACAGTAAATTGCCATGCAGAAATTATTTCTTCCTTCCCACCACTAGTAAATTAGCTGTGATATCATGAGGCTGAAATACTGAAGATAACCACACTGGCATAACTATTTTCTGAACTAATTATACAAATTAGAGTATTTATATCAGTGTTCCGCAAACTCCTGCCCTCCTCATGAGCTGTACTTCAACTCCCAGTATCTCCCACTATCTGAAGGCCACTAGATTGGGAAAAGCTTATTTATTCACTATGAAACCCCAACCCTAATCCTAAATTATAACATGAAAGCATCCAAGAGCACACCTGTCTCCAGGACAGAAAGCAATAATTTAGGACAAACTTGTGGTATCTGAAAATGAGAGTCATATACCAGCTGGTAACTCTAGTCTAGCAGGTCTACCTTTTTGTTGCTGTTAATACTCTGGAGTTCCCTGAGTCCACCCACATGCAATAAATAGGAAAGAATGTAAGTGCTTATTCAGGATCACCTACCAATTAAAGCATAATCTGGTTTAAGCATTCTTGAATACATAGTCCTGATTAAAATCATAAGTAGTACCCGCCGGATCACATGACAGTCCACCTCATCCAACATGCTCAGTAGGGATTTCAGCAACCCACAAGTATGAGATGGTCCCCACAAAACTGGCCAGTGCTCCACCAGCAGACTGCAATGTTTTATTGATTCTGCACTGCTCCAGTGGAATTCTCTGCAGAGAGAATCTCTACTTTCTTCTTGCCTCTTGAGCAATAAACACAAATGTAGAAAGACACTAAGTCATGATTGCATATTACTCTTAAGGAACATCCGCAATTAAATAAGCAATTTAATTTACAAACATCTATACAATACTTTCTTAATGCAGTATTTACAACAACACATAATTGTTAGAGACACTGTAAATATTGTGATATTCCCCAAGCAAGAAGAAAATAGTATTGCATAGGATAATTTTAATTGTGTGAGCTGCTATTTAATGATTATGAAAATTATGCAGGCAATACAATTATTTAGATCTACAAATTATTTTATACTGATGTCTGTGCTTCTGACTGATGAACAAAATCCACAAGGAAGCCAACTGCTCATAAGGTGAGCACTAGGATCTCACACTTGGCTTCCTGTGTTCTGAATGTATATCAGATGCAGAGGGTTGAGTATAAACATGCTATTTGTTAGTTATTTATTATATCTATATACTGCCAAATTGACAGATGTTCTGGTTTAGAGCTGTAAAGCACCAAAACGGTAAGTAAAAGAAGAACAGTATTGTTGAGGAAATACTCAAAAGTAAGTTATTGGAAATATTAAAAATATTAAATATTGGGGGAAAGTGATGATAAAGAAAACAAATTTAATGATGAAATGCCTGCCTGTCTTAGCTTGGCATCTCAACAAGAAAAAATGATAGGCACGTCTCCCTGGGAAAGGCATTGCTAGGCTCCTTCCCTGACAGCCTTCCAAACAAGATTCAGACACATCATCTTTTCCAGTGCCATTGAAAATAAGATCCCAATCCTCAGGAAGGTGTTAAGTACCCATAACAATAAAGGGACAGGTTCCCCATACCTTTGGTACCTCCACATAGAGAGTTATTTGCATTACAAGTCGATACACATGTCACTTTTTCCACATTTGATCACTTTGTCACTTCTTGATCAGCTTCCAAAACAATGTACTTAGGTGATATACCGTATTTTTCCGTGTATAAGACAATACTTCTTCTTTAAAATATTTACCTAAAAATGGAGGGGCATCTTATAAACGGGGCCCGAGAGGAAAACAGCGGGCGAGCTCAGGGGGGAAGGAGACTGGCGCGATTGCAGGGATGCTGGGGAGAGGTGTGCGCGGGCGTGCTTGGGGGGAGAGAGTGGCATGCGCATCCCCACACGGGGAGGCGGTGAGGTGGCAGGTGCATGTGCACAGCAGCACCTTGCTCGCTTGGAGATTAGTAAGAAAAGGGGGGCGTCCTATACATGTGGGCGTCTTATAGACAGAATAATACAGTAACCTAGTTAATATCACTTTACAGTATCAGGCCAACTTTGTCCATTTGGCCAGGACTCAGAGGTAGGCCTGTGCTTTATCTGGAAGGTTTCTAGGAATGTCACACATTGTCAACTGTACATAAGTTGTGCCAGAGTATCCTAGTTTCCTCTTGCCTTGTGATATCATAGCTTATTTACTGGTGGTGGGAAGAAAGAGATAATTTCTGCATGGCAACTCACTGTTCTGAGGGACACAGAGCAATTAGCATACCCGGTGGCTTAATTACACTGAAGACTTCACAGGGAATACTAGTGTGCCCCAGTATACTGTTTGTGAATTACCATCTCACACATTTCCATGCTGGAAGTCAGAGTGTCTGCACTAGGTATAATGATGAGAATAAAATGTTGCTTCTAAGACTTATCATGTAGACTGAAAAGCTTATCACAGAGATGTGGCCTTCCCTTTCACTCTTTGTTTTGAGCCTTGGAGTATAACACTCTCTACACTTCTTGGATAAAGTGATAAATATTAAAGCTGAACCTCCTAAACCTGGTAACAGTTATAGAGATTCTATTTGTCAAAAGTAAATATAAGAAGGGGAACAAGACCTGAAGTTTCTCATCCTTATTACAATTTTTTTTAGGCTACAGAAAAGGCTAGGATTATTTTCCTATTTTACAAGAACTAATGTGAGGTCTGCCCCAGTTTTGTAGGCATCCTTTGGCAACTACAGAAAGAAAAGGGATAAAAAGCACTGCAAGAGCAGGCATGGAAATCCAAGACAACATTTACAGCCAGAAGTTTAAAGTCCAAGAGTATGGAATAAGTCAGCATTAGGGTTGGATCCTCCTGGAAAGTCAACAACCCATTACAGATCTGTTTTTATTGCTTAAGCTGCTCTGAAAAGTATCATATGCATCTAAAGTCCTAAATAAATAGTAATTTATAAATTTATAACAATCTTGGGAAACACGCTACTGCAACTGGCATTTATTTTTATTAGATTTCTACCCTGCCCCTTAGCCAAAATGGCTCTCTGAATACGGAATAGCTGCTGCCTGCCTCAGTTGGTTATAAAAAATATAAATGACCAGTGTGATTTTTTCTGATGTGCCAGTGACCTGGCTGAATCATTTGCATCTTCCCTTTAAAAGCTCCTGAGACACATTCTAACTCTCCTAGAAGAGATGAGTCCACAACCTGCTGTACCCAGAATTTTAGCATATGGTGAACTCAAGTTTTTTTTTTCCTTATTTTCCCATGTACAGGTCAACTTATGAATGATTCTGACACTGACAAAAAGTTAGCACAGGACATATCAAACTGCAGTGATAATTAATAGGGTTGCAATTAACTTCCCAAGGGATATAAGATCTTTATAACATTTTTAAATGGATAAATTATTAATGGATTCTACCATCATACAGCTCAATTCTAAGTTTTTTTTTCACGTTGAGTTGTTTGGCATTTTTAAAAATAGCAATGAGTTGTGCTTAAAGAGTAGAATGTAAACAGCTAAAACACTATATTGTGGAGTTAACATCTACTGCAGTTCGACTGAATCTACAATGAATATCAAGTGTATGAATAAATTCCAGAGCTTACTGGAGCTGCTGTAACGAACATACCTGCAATATGAGAGACTCTTTATCACCTTCTAATCTTGTCAGGCGTTCTTGATATGTTTCATTACTGGCAGGAGTGTGTTGATTCACCTGGGACTGAAATAAAAACAATATAAGACAAGTAATTGAAATGTAATTATATTGTTAGATGCTCCCTGGAACTTACGGGAAAGAACAAGCTTATAAGATGCTACCACGGATACATTACATAGCTTACAATTTTGACAATAAAGCTTGGTAAGCCACATACACACATACATTTATAGCTTTTATATCCGCCCTTCGCAGTGTCTCAGGGTGGTAATACAATAAAATAAACAAATAAATAAGAAAGATACAGCATCCAGATAATAATATATAAAATCTATCTTAAAACACTACTAACATTTAAAATAATGAGGAAATAAAAAGGTTTGGGTCTTGTAATGAAATGAAAAAAGTGTCAGTGCCAGCCACACCTCTCTGGAGATCCCATTTCATAGCTGAGTCGCCACCGCAGAGAAGGCCCTTCTCTGGGTAGCCACTCTTCCGATCTCCTTTAAAGTGGGCTCCTAAAGAAGGACCTCTGCTCCAGATCTTAGTGGCCGGCTAAGTATATATGGAAGAAGATGCTCCTTCAAATATCCAGGTCCTAAGCAGTTTAGGGCTTTATAAGTCATCACTAGCACCTTAAATTGGGCCCAGACTTCAATTGGAAACCAGTGTAGGTTTTAAAATGCAATTTAATTGGGAACATTTTGCATTTCCCAGGATTTAGCCATGGCACAAAGCTGAAACTCTTTTGAGTGTGTAGCCTAGAAAGAAACAAAAGTCACAAATGGCAGATAAGGGATTCCAGCTCCAAGTGCAGGCCACTGTTGTCCATAGCGGGTACCAACATTTTAAAGGGAATTTTAAATACATATAGAAGAAAGACCAAATTCAGTGAGCAATATGCCAGTTGTTACCCCCCAGCCCCAAAACAAAAAATACAGAAAGTATTATGCAACCAGCCCCATTTCTGAGTCCTGTGATACAACCAGTGCCACAGAATCACTGGATACTTATTTCTAATCTTCAGCCCATCCCACCAATTTTCTCCTGTCTTATCTGCTTCACCCTACTTCTGAGGTGAGCAATATACTAAGCATGTACAGCAAGCTTAAATGACAGGACCAGGGAAGAGAACCAAAGGGCGAAGCCATAGCTATGATGTTGCTCATTGGGCACATCCACTTGTCATGCTAAGCTATCTAAGAAGCCCTGGTGGGCGGCTGAATTGTCTGTTACCCCCGAAAGGGGATACTCTATTTATCAACTTCCCATGACTTGCTTCTCTGTCAGTTCCTCTCTGGTCCCCAAGCTACTGCCTGCGCATATCCCAAAGGCCCTGGACTATGTGCTAGCAGCAGCCTGGAGGACTGAGCAGGAGTGAAGGAAATTATTCTCTCAGCACTTATGAACACGGATATGCAAGGGCTTTTTTGAGGAGGGGGGCATCCTTTGGGCAAGACTGAAAGATCACTCATCCACTATTTAGATGACTTTCCTTTTATCTCCCCCGCCCCCATCAATGTCCTTCACTTTTGTGCTTTGCTTACACTGAGGTAAGAACACTTTTGAAAAGACATTTGCAATTTTTTTTAAAAGGATTTTGTGAAATGTGTGCAAATTTCCCCCACATTCCACTGCTCTGCCATTAATTTTATGTAGTTTTTACATTCACTGCTCAATAACTCTCATGTACATCTGACAGGTAGCAACACCAAGACCTCATGCGCAAGAGCAGAGAAAGCCCCTAATCTCATTAGCGCGACCACCATTCTGCCTCATCCTTTTTCAGCCTGCCTGCCTGCCTGCCTTTCTAAGAATTAGGAAAGGCCACCAAAGAATGTTCCAAATGTACTCATAGTTTTTAAATATTCTGTTTTGCCCCTGAAAAAGAATGATAGTCCTTTATGTTTAATGTCCCGGTCTATTTTGTCTATTTCTTTAGTTTCATTTGTTCTATTTCTATGCTTCACCCAACAGAGTCATAGTATATTGTCAGTGTTTTGGTCTATTTCATCCTCTGCTGATTGTTTCTCTCCACTGCAGGGGGCCACCACCATTCTTCCCTGTCAGTAAGCTCGGACCCTGCTACCTGCTTCTGCTCTTACACAGATCTTCTTTCCATTTACTAGGTAGCCTGTACATTTGCACAAATTGTTCTCCTGATTATTGTCCAGCCTTTCTGTTAGTCTGTGGCCCTCTGCTGACTGCCAAAGCACCTGTTCCGTACTCAGCCACGCATGCTCCCCTTGTCAGCGTCCTCTGCTTTCTCATGCTAGTGAACACCTTCATTTTTTTAAAGGTTGCCTCATGTTACACTGAACTAGGCACACCTGCTTCCAAAGCGCCTTCTCTTCCACAGCGGCCAGCTCCATCACTAGTTCTCAGATGCACGGAAGGGTCATGATGCAGCGAGCAAGAGTGCAGAAATTATACAAAATTAATGGTCAAACAACAGGACTGCGGAGAAATTTGCACAAAATTCCTAGCACCACTTGCACAGGGACTGATAGATTGCACCAAACATTGCAAATACATTTGGGACATGGCCTGGTGTCACTTGTTCATGATTCTTATGTATATATTTAAAAATCCACCCTGAAGCTTAAAAGGAACGTGAAAGAACAGGTGCAGAACTAGTGAGATTGCAAATAGCAGCAGGAGCTTTGGGACTTTAGCCAGCGAGCAATCTAGCTGCGACAACAGTCCATGAAAAAGTCACCCTGCCATCCTTGGGCATCTTGTTGAGACACTCTGAGAATAAACCATCCTAAGCAACCTTACTACAAGCAGTGGCTTCTCAAGATGGCTTGTTTGTGCAAAATTATCCACAAGTGCTGTGGATTTGGACATTCCACTAAGTCATTCTGCAGCCACTGTGGCTTAGAGGGACACACAAACCTAGTCACTGTATTGTGAAATGTAGAAAGAATGCATGCAGTCTGCTCCCTCCATTCATTGCTGATGTTGTGCATGCACACTCGGATGAGATTCCCAGGCGCACACAAGGGATGGAGGGTTCTGGTGGGAATGGTGGCTCAGACTTGAAGGGGGGCAGTGGATAGCTGATCTAGCCGTGGCTCAGAGTTCTCACTCTGATATTGGAGTTGTTGAGATGAGCAAGGCCGCTGGCCGAACTCTCCCGGTGAGCCCACCTGAGCCAGCTCTGGATCAAAGCACTTCAAGGATAACCACTGAGCCCCCATCCCTCCTGATTGTGGGAAAGAAGCTGCTGGAGAACAGGCTGGGGAGGGGTTCTCAGGAGAACCTGACACCCCAGGAGATGTGGATGCAAGGGCCCATCAACACACTTGCTGGCTGGACCAGTTAGGGGCTCAACGGGAAGAGTGTTGGTGCGCCCACTTCCATAGTGCACCCCCCTCCAGAGACCGGCCCCGAAGGGTTCATAAGCAGAGCTTTGGGTGAATAGGGTAAAAGCGAGAGGTCAACTTTCTACCTGGAGTATGTATTTCAGCATTTGTGAATACCTTGTAGCTGTATGGAATAAAGACTCTTAATAACTACTGACATGTTTGCCTCATTTGGGAAGGGACACCTAGCTCACGACAGCTGGTGGGCCTGTATACCAAAGTGCTACATGATGAGGATCAGTACATGAAAGAAGGATACAATGAAAGAAGCCATGCTGAATGCAAAACCACACATTATATTCCCTACTGTGAAACCATGATACTTTAAAAAAGGGCAAATTATACATTCAGTAAGAGCAGTTTGGCTTTATGTAGTTGTATATTTTCAAATAATTTTATTCCAGAATATAGGAAATTTCCGCAATGCAGCTGAAGATGCCATAGCTGGGATATGAGGCGTATAGTGCAATAACTCTATTCAATAGGATGCTGGAAGTATTAGTGTCAGGACATTCCACTAGCAAGCTCTGTATCACCATTCCTTTTATCCTCAAAACCACTCGGTTAGACCTGACTAGGTCAATACCAGACTGAACTGGGATTTGAATCTGGGATTACCTCTTTGAATCTAGGGCTATACTCCACTTATTGAGTGTAGTTTCATGTCAGTTTCATGCAGAACTCACATGGAGCAATAATGATAGAAAAGAATTTATGCAAGTAAAGGCTGTGGAAACCAAAGGGTCCTGTTCTGAACAACAACAACACACACACACTTTATGAGATCCAGTGACATGTGGCAGCTCGAGTTGGGATCTGGGAAATCTGGCTTCTGGTCCCCACTTGCCATGAAGCTAACTGGCTGGCTTTGGGCCAGTCACCAACTCATCTGAACCTACCTCACAGGGTGGTTGTTGTGAGTATAAAAACAGAGTGGAGGAGTTCTGTGTTAGTTGCTGTGGTTTTCTTGTAAAAGGAAAAAATGCAAATCTAAATGCAATGTAATAGGATAATTCACAGTTGGCTTATATATGTTTGCTCTGTGAACATTTGACCTCCATTCAAATGCTCTCTTTTCTGCCAAAAAATCCATCATAGGACAACCTAATGAATAGCTCTTTGGAAGTCTGGAAGCACAAATGACAAAATTGAAGCTGCTTATAATGTTGGCACATCACGAGAAGGCAAGGTTCACTAGAGAAGACAATAATGGTAGGGAAAGTTGAAGGCAAAAGAGGAAGATCAAATATCAGATAGACTGTATCCATAAAGGAAACCACAGCCTTGCATTTACAAGAGATGAGCAGTGCTGTGAGCAAAGGGCATTTTGGAGGGCATTCATTCACAGGGTCACTGTAAGTCAGAGATGACCTGATGCACATAACAACAACAGGTTGTCATCTTAAGTAACTGGAAGAGCAGGTGTATTTTGTATGTTGCAATAGGTTTTGCCTCTCACAGGACTGCTCATTTAGCTCTAGATAATATTCATTCTGTATTAAGCCATAACAAGATAATGGACTGCAATGCTTCCTGCTCTAATTTATGCTTCTAAAATATGCCAGACTGAAACTGCATTAGCCAACAACCACATCAAGCAAGGTAATCCAAGGAGAAACCATCAGCTCTGCCAAAGCATCAGCTACTACATGCTTTAATAGGAAAAGACAAATGCAGACAAGCTCACCTACTAAA